TAGAGGAATCCCTCGTCGGACATGTAACCCTTCCAGTAATGCAGGGCCACTCCGCCCACGGCGATCCACATAATGCAGCCAACCACGTTCATGATGGTGTCACAGAGCTCTCTGAAAAGAATTGGGAAAAAGGTTATAAAATGGAAGTTCAGGATTTGATTGGGTATAAACCAAATCAGCAAAGTGTCAGGTCAAAGTATAATGATATTAATGTTTTCTAGTAAATAGTTGAATTACATTGCTAGTAATGTGAACCTTGACTTTGATAGATTATGTTTTTTTTTTTGATTTCCCAATAGTATTTTTAACTCACCCCTTATGTTTGGTTGTTCCAAAAGCAAAGGCGATTGTGTGGCATCCAGTGTAAATCAAAAATCCAACCATAACGCCCGAGGCCACGATTTCCGCATCGGCGCTCTTCTCCTCGTTCAGATTCCAAGTGCCGCCAATGCCCAAGAATTCGCCACCATCGCCCCAACGGTACAGGAAGATGATCACCAGGTTGATGATCTAAAGTTTGGGGAAAAAAAAGGGACGCAGGATAGCAATGAGGTCATGCACTTTGCGGATGAATCACTCTTTTTTTAGCCACGCCTCGCCGAACAACGCGGCGTATGAGTAACATTGCTAATACGCGAGGACTGATAAAACGCGCGCTTATCAGCCAAGTTATTGCGACTACCCAGGCAATTGCTCAATTCGGAAAATAAAATTCCGAAAACTTACCAGCTTCAGGGCCTTGATGAAAATAGAACCAACTGTCTCCACGGATACCATTTTGCACTAGTTGATGATTTTGTTTTCGTTTGGCTGGAATTCAGGGATGTACTTTAGTATGCACCCCCTTTTTCAAAGGCTGTTAATCAATGTGGCACTCACAATCTTTTCTGTAATTTTCACGCGGAAACTACAAACAAAATGATTCGTGTTCGTATCGTTGTCGTTCGTCGACTAAACGGAAAATATCACTGAAAGGCAACCTGTTGCTCGCCCAGTTCGTATTGTCGCCTAGAATTTGTAGCTTTTGCAATCTGAGCATACACGGTCAGCGATAAGATAAGCAGGCGATACGATAACAGGTATTCGAAATGGGTTACTAATTTGTTGGCGGTTCCCCGTGAGGCGGTAAGAAAATAACGGCCAGATACGCATGCGCCAGCCCCACCCGCGTATCTTATCGGCTGGTCTTATCGGGGCTCCGACGCCTTACATCGCGATATCAGGTGCTCCGATTTGCTGGTTCTTCTCCCAGCATTATTAAACATTATTCATGGCGACCACAAAGCCACAAAAGTGGAAAACAAAGCTAGGGCTCTGGGGGACCGGAAACTGTCATTCTTGCGTCATCAATGGATTTCTGAAATACTTTGGGGTGAGCCATAGGTCTGGCATTCCCCCAAGATAATGATTCCCGTAATGCATCCCCAAAAAACCTTGAAAATCCACTGACCTTGCCACAATTCCATGTGATCGATAGCCCACATTGATTAAATTAGTTCTCGCTGCTGATTGAAACGCCTCGCACAAAGTCACTGGAACTAATCTGCATTTCAATTATCTCAACCCTAGCACAATAATCAGTGCAACAGTGCAATGCAAAATGATAGTGTCAATTGGCGAGCGAAAAACCTCGTCTGCGGTTTGCATGAGTAAGGGATCCCATCTCATCTATTTATTATGGTAAAGTGGGGGGTAATTGCATTTTTCGAGCTGTGGAGGAATAGCTTTATACAAATAACTCAATTTAAAGAGAACGTTAGCTGTATTCATGCATATAATTCTTTATTAATCCTGAATAAAAACAAAATTCTTAAAAGAAGAAAATAAATTTAGATATTTAAATATGGTTGGAACCAAAAAATTATTTTAAATAAAAAAATTTGTTGATTTAGAGCTTGGGAAACTTTATTGCACATGTTGCACATAGAGCACGCTGTTTTATTTCTATAAGCACCATTTAATTTTACAATATAAATCATAAATTCAAAACATGAAACAAACATGACATCACACGTCGTTAAGAGGTTTTTTTTTATGACCTGCCATTGAGTAGCAAGTATACACACAGTTTCATGAGTACTATATATAAACAAGTATCACTTACTCGGTTCCAAGTATTATTGGGTTTCTTTCGGAGGCTGAGTAACCCGAAAATTATGGTATATTAGTTTCTGGGGGTGCATAAATCAACAAAAATAGTTCCACCGCAGCATAATTGTTAAATGATAAAATGGTATGAAGTAAAGAAAACGGATTTTGATAAAAAAATATCTCCAGGAAAATTGTAAAATATTTAATATTAATAAGGTAAATTGTTTACATATTGTGCACTTTATGTTAATTTTTTGTACAATTTTATCATTTTATTGAAATTTTTGAAAAGTATAAACCGACCTTAAAGTACTGTATCGTTTTGAATTGTTTTTACGACTTCTAAGAATTCCGAGACTTAGCAATTGTCTCTTTTTTAAACTGATGAAATGCTTAAAGCCAATAAATAAGATTTCTTATACACATATGTACAAGCAAACATTGCACACATGCGAGACCCGACTTTTTAATCCAGATATAGACATGCATTGGATTTTACAATGCAAATTATCTGGGGCCTGAATCAGTAAAGGAATTTCTTCTTTCCAAATCAAGGCCAGAGGTTGGAGTGTTCTTTCTTCAGGCTTCTCCGCAGCCGATCCCCTACCGCCTCCTCCCGATTCTCGTATCCCCATGGAGTCCCAGAAAGAGTCTTTAAATTTGGAACTTGTCTCCGCTGCGTTTGCGGCCGATGAATCATCGGCAGAGAGAAAAAGCAGCGTCAGAACAACAAAAACCGGCATGCAACTGCCACCAATACAAGTGCAGTGCTGCTTTGGAGCCCCATCTCTCTACATGGAGAATGGAGAGAGCAAAAGAAAGAGAGACGGGCTCAATAGCTGCCAGCTTTTGCGTGCCATCAGGGTCCAACTATTTGTTGTAATGAGATTTAAAAAAAAATCGTATGGATTTTTATTATAAAACTCCAATACCAAGGTGTTTTTAATGCATTTTAATATATGTAACACATGACAATATTAACAGTATTAGCGATGGCAAAAATGTTGCTTATATCCAATTAAAAATCGAACTATTTATAAAACTAGTCCGCATGTTAAGCTAAATTAAATTGAAATTGTATTCCCTACTTTAAGTTTTACATGCGAAGACAAAAATACTTAGTAGTTCTTATTCAACATTGTTTTACAAAAGTACGATGATATGAATTCGTAACACTATGAAACCCTTAAGAAAATGAAATCTGTACATCAATTTATTCAATATACTTTCATAAATAGAACTTACTCGGTTTCTAATCCTTCGTCCCATTTAGCTATAAAATGGCCCACATGGCTGCACTACAACTGAAGCTTGCTTTCCAGAGAATGTTGTAGCGGTCAGCATTTGAGAGCGCCGCTTAACATTACAAAGCATTACAGCAATGTAAAATGTATATCAAGCGAGAGTATTTAGCAGATACTCACAAACACAGCTGTAGATTAGTTATGACTATTTGCACACCTTTTGGGAAGCACTTACCTGCCTTTTTTGGGCTACCTGGCGTCAATGAGGTGTGACAGCGATTTGGTAATGAGATTGAAGTTCGCTCTCTGTGGGCGGATTTCAATTAATTCGGCAGACAGTCGCAGAGTGACTCAGAAATCAGAAAACTGCAAAGAGCACATGTGGCGGGGAGCTTTTCGATTTTGTTTTGATTACCAATTTGATATCGCCTCTTCTCGATGTTTTTTTCGCCGGCTGCGTTGTTGCTATTTATGAATGAAAGTTCCGTTTGTTTACTTTTGCGCTTTTGAGTGTGCGCACAAAGCTCTCTCTTTTTCGAAGAGAGAGTAAGGTAAAAGTGAGAGTAAAAGAAAAGAGAGATTCTTATCACCTGAGTTCAAAACACACTCAATCGCATTTCAATAGTTGTAGCCACTTGAAAAATTGCGGTAAACGTATGTGCTGCAAAAACTGTAAACTTGGAGAGTTTTATGAGTTATTTGGTTCTCGACTTCCAATTAATTTTAATGTGTTTTTGAACAAACAACATTTTCAACCCCGATATTTACTCTCAACTTTGAAACGGTCGAAAATGTATTTGGCCGGAATTTTATGACATTTACCCAACGCCTGCATTCATATTCATAGAATTATAGATATTCAAACGCACAGCAGCGGTAAATATAATAGTGCTAGGGAGGGGAAATTAAATTTTTTGTTGGAAAAACTCATATTTTCCTTTTTATTAAGTTCTCTTGTAGCTTAAACAGAATAAAGTTATAACAAAATTAAAAGAAAAAAAATTCAAAGAAAGTTAGTTATGATTATGATTACGATTAAGTAAGTTATGATAAAATTCAACAGTACGTATGAGTGATATACCCTAAAGGCACATGATATTCATTTGTAGTTTAAGTAAATAGCATAAAGTTATAATAAAATTGTTAGAATGTTAATTAGACGACAGTACGTATGAGTGATATACTTTATTATATTTGTTTCCAATACATTCATATAAGTAAGCCCTAATTGCATTGTAAAAGATTGAGAGTACGACCTTAAAACAAGAATAGAGTTTTATCAATCGATTTATTAGTTGTAAACAATTTTTAACAAAGTTTTATTTCTTAGAAGCGCAAGTAACAATAAAATATATATACCTTTTAGTTAATTTTACTATTTTTTTTATATTTAATTTAATTTACCAGGAAAATATATGATCAAAAATTAAGAAATATAAGATGTATAATACCCTGTTTCTATTATTTCAACTACAACTGTGCCAGTACAGTCATAGACCTTTTTGTGGGACTGGGTACACGGCCTCCTTGTTTAACCAGACCCACGGCCGAACCCCATCTTCGTGTCGTTATCCTTATCAGGCGAGTGTTTTTTCTGTTTTCTCTGCCGCCTTCGTGGGTCCTTTAAACGAGCGGATGGCGTCGCAGTCGCCTCAGTTCGTCGGCAGCCGTCCCACAGTGCGGATGACCCAAAAATCGGACCGCGGACCGCCGACCTTTGACATCATCATTTCGCTCGCGTTCGCAATTTTTACCGCGCTGTCACCGCGGTTTTGAACGCTTTCGTTCCGCTCTGTGTTGGTGCTGTTTTTTCGGGGGCAAAAAAAAAACACAAAAAACAGTGTAAACAAGACAGCAGGAGTTACATGACTAAATAAAGTAAAGGCCCCGTCGTTCAATAACAAATCAATTGAAATATGTATACCCGCTATGCTGGATGCATCCACGGTAAACAAGACCTCGTATATGATTGTTTGTTTGCAAACATCGGATTCGTTACCAGATTTTGCCTACGGTGCACTTCGCATCTAAGTGACACTGGTGACCACAAGATGTGCATATAAGACTGGATGAGTAATCCCAAAAACCTCCACATAAAAATTAGATGCACAGCATAAAACATTTCTTGTCAACTCAACTTAACAAATATGCTCGCTTTAAAATGCGGTTCATTTGGTTGGTATAATTTGTTGGTTTAATCAATTTAAAGCAGACAAATTGAGAAGAATTTAAAGTTTTTAAAAATTTCTTATTATAATTAGTTCTAACTTAACGTTCTGTAAATGTTTAAATTATTTTTCTAAAAGGCTTAATTTTTTAGGCAGGAAATAGGAAAATTAACTAATTTTTATTAGTAAAAATATATTCTCTTAATCTTTAAATTATTGTGTTCTATTTTTCTGAATTGCACTGTAGGACATCGCTGGTAGATGTGTCACTTATCCTTGTTTGAAGCTATTTGAATGGTGTCCTTGATTTTGACGTTTGCTTCCGTGACTTTAAAAGGTCACTAAATAGATAGAAAGAATCGCAAATTTTTAAAAGTTCACATAGCTTTAACCGTGTAACTTTTATAGTAAGAATTCATTGGTTTGTTTACTTTTCGACACGGAAATGCCTTATCTTTCCACAAAATGATCTGCATTCTATTTGCATGGTCCAGAGTAGAGTGGAGGTGGAAATGTGGCCATAAAAATTCAATGAAATCATTTATTTCAATGGCTTTCATTATTAATGAATGTTATGGCCTGTCGTTGACTCGTTTACATTTAAACAGTGAACCATTTAGTAAATGTGCTATCTACAGGCATATGGTAATGAAATCATTTCGAACAAGTCACAGAGATTTTTCGTATTAAAAAGGATTTTCAATTAATTAAAATGAAGTGAAGTATTTAATTATTTAAAATCTTGCGCATGGTACTTTGATCTGATATTTTCATTTAGTTGTAAAAATAAGTATGTCGATATTTGATTTTACTAACTACAAAAAGCATAATAAAAGGGATTTTGTTTAAATAGAGTGGGGTTTTAAAGTAACATCTTTAAATATTTAATCGTCCTTTCTAGCGGAAACACAGCTTTAATTGGTATCTTAATTTCCTAAGCTTCTCTACTTATCCGAATTTAAAATCTTAAATTTTTCCTTGCCTTGTAAAGTCTTCATGAATATCTCCTCCAAGCAGTGGATTTTTGTTTGCTCCACAAGAAATAGCTCGTGGCATTTATTTCGCTGCGACAGAGATTTGTAAATTTGTAATGGCTTAACATACTTTCGGGCATAAAAAGTACTAGATAAATGTAATCATGGCGGAGCGCTTTCTTTATTGGAAACACAAAGGCGAGTGGGTGGCGCCGACCTCCTGTGCCACTTTTTGGGCCTCTCCGGAGCCTTCAAATATGCATAAACTAATTTTGGCTTATGCAACATACTTTTTGGCCCGGCCCACGGCATCGATGCTGCGCCCCTTCTCCCCTGCTGTAATATTCATTACCTAGCCAGCCCATATGTGCTCCTCCTCGTCCGCCGCTGAAACATTTAAATGCTAATAAATTTCGTTTATGAGCGACAGGCGTGCCGGACAGCCGTGCACGTGGAAAAACTAAGTTCCGTCTATCAGTTCAATCAGAATAACATTCGGAATATTTTCCAATAGGTCACGTCAATTGCACTGAGGTGTATTATCATATACAGAAGTAAATCATGGGCTGAGAACCTCAAAAGGAACGTTGTTTATGTAATCTATAAGCTGTGTATATGTACAGTGGTAATACAGATATATTTTTTAAACGTATTCACTTTTTACAATATCGAGGTAGTTAAACACTTTAAGGATTAACATAAAATGTTTATAATATTATAGAGAATATCCAAAACTGTATTCAACTAATCGATTACCTTTAAAAAAAATATTATTTAAAAAGGATCACAGTATACTAAACACGAAATCTGGGTTTTCTAAAAATATTTATTTAATTCTAGAATATATTGTTGAAATTTTAACAGAACCTTCTTTGTTATAATATTTTTAGAAGACTTATTATACACAGAAAAAATTCTGACGTTCTCATCTGAGTTGAAAATGTTCTTAGAAATATCAAGATGAATTGGCGGTATTTAAGTACATTGTATGTACAAATTAACTATTAGTATCAAATCAATTTAAATTATCAATTTAACTTTTCTCTTCTCACCATTTCGTTCTTATATTGATACCAAAGTGTACTTACACGGTTTTTAAGAACGAATGTTCTCAATTCAAGAACAATGTTCTTAGATAGTTTTCTCTGTGTAGTTTTCCTTTATAAATCTATAAGTGTCTGTAAATATTCCAATAATATTATCCAGTTCCAGTTACTGATCCATCTGGCGGTAAAAATTCAGTATATACTGTGATAAAATAATGTTTTTCCGTGTAGGAATTGGCACAGGTCTCCAATGACGTCCGTGCTAGGCACTCGTGACGTCCGGGCTCCGAAAAAAAGGTGCAAAGTCAGGTGGGGATGGGAATGGGGGTGGGGATAGGGATGTGGATGGGAGGAGTCTGAGCTGCTCCTGCCCAAGGAGTACACCCGACGAAGAAGTGGCCACGGGAAATGATTTATGGCTGGCAGTCCTCGCTAAGGCTGCAAGCCAATTCCGTTCCTCGGTTTGTTTGGTCATCCGTTGGGCCCTCCGCCGGATGTGGGGGCCAACACAAATAGCTCCAAGATTTGTCGAATGCGTCGGCTGCTGAATATTCGGTGTTTTGTGTGTGCTCGGTGGTGTATGGATGTTATGTATACGCCGTGGAGCGTCATAAATCAATTTTAATGTGAAAATTATTGCCGCATACTTTTGGGTTGTTGTCGGGAATTTTTCATAAACAAAACATTACGGGAATTTGTGTAAGCCTGGGAATGAGGAGAATTCCTAACAATTCTGCCACACATGTGACACCTTAAATCTATGGGGATAATGTTACTTTATAAAAGTATCTGCATCTTTTGTTGGGTTTTTGGGCCGCATTTAAATGATGTCATTTTCAATTGTTCATATTTATTTTGAATGGCTGCTTCAAGAGGCATTTAATTTAACAACAGTTTGCCTAAATTTAATAATACGTAATTTTTTTTAACAACAAAGATTTAAATTTAATTTTACATAATCATCGTTCTGTACTAATCATTCATTATTTGTCATTTTCTTTCAGGTAATTAAACGTTTCTTCTTCCTTGCAATGAAGCCTTAAAATGACACAAGTTTGCAAATGTAAGTTTAAGACCTTGACAAATTATCTGGTTATTTACGAGGGCAAATTTCCTCTTAAGATAAGAGAGAAAACTGGATGCAAAGTTTGCACCGGATACTGCAGACGCCTTTGAACATTTTCTTTTCGGCCTCTTTGGTGGAAATTATTGCTTTTGCCTTCCTTTTGGCCAGCAAAATAAATATTAAAAGTTCAGGGTCTTGCTAAACTTTAATGAATGCACCCACATCTCTGCGAAATCGAGAACACTTTTGACTGGACCATTGGCTTTGTGGGAGTATTCAAATTCAAAAGGATATTTTTTCCTAATACGAAAATTTTATAAAGTTAAACAAAATGCTGTTGAGATGCTAAACTTAAAGCAATTAAGTTCTAGCAAGAGCGCACAACTTAAATATTCCAAAAAAATATTTATTGTTATCAAAGATGTTTTCATAAGACAAGTTTCTAGAAATAGTCTTAAACACTGTTTTAAAGTTTCTGCCACATCCTCTTACCTGAATTTTCTTCAACCAGATCCGGATTAAGTTTTTGAGCAACACCATTCGGTTATTTTAGTCTTGTTATCTTATACACTTTTATCTTCTGCCCAGACTTTCAATTTCCACGTACGTGGCACCTGAAGTTTGCTGCGTGCGAGGCTAGGTAGAACTTAAATTTAACTTGCCACAAAGTTTATGAGCATCAATTGAAGAACTGAAAAACTGAAGACAGAAAATTCAGTCGATAAATTGGCCAAAATGTGGCAAACACGAATTGGTTCTCTGGTGCAGCATAAAATATATTTCAGCAATAAAACCAATCGAATTTAAGAGAAAGACATAAACCTATTTTGAGAAATTGCTGTGTGGATAACGTATTTTCTTTAACCGATTTAAGCGGGAATGGGACTCAAAGCATTTGTTTCAACTCAAGTTGTTTGATTTCCTTTTGAATTGGCTTCATTTGTCATTAAATTAACGATTTAACCAATAGAAGGCTGAAGGCTGAGAGAAAATACGCTTTTTGCTTTGCGACCTTCACTACTATTGATCTAAAAAAAGGGAATTAAAACCGTAAGTTCGCTCTCAACAAGGGCCCCATCTGCTGGCTGGGGAAAAGCCATTTTCCGAGCTATTTCTTGAATTAATCTCCTCGGAATGCTCCTGGCCCAGCGTGCCACATCCTTGGCAGGACGACACAAACAGACATTGAAAGGTGGGCGGTGGAGGGGCGGGCAAGTGGCTGCCCAGAAAACCAATTTGGTCATTATCTGAACACATAAATCAAAGTCAGTGCAATTAGCGCCAAGGTAGAAGTCCATTTTAAAATTAATTAAACCGAAAACAAATCCACAAAACGAACCGCACGAAGCCCACTCACAGCCGGATCCAAAACCCGTATCCCAGACTCGTCGGAAATATATATATATACTATATATATATACAGATGGTAACCGCAAGCCAACAACACGGGTGAAAATCGAACGCTTTTCCGGAAGCGATGGCCGAACATGGGACAGCGACAAGTGGAAAACTCCTTGCTGGTTGAATTACAAACAAGCGGCAGGATGGATTTCCCGGTGATTCTGATTGCTCACTTTTATCCCGCCGACAAGAGAACTGAATAAAGCAATCCGAACGCATTTAATTTCACGCGAACTTCCTCCATTGGAAATTTATTACATTTAGAAGGAAAAAAATTAAAATAAATATTTTATTGCTGTTGCCTGGATTTATTATAAAATGTTATTGGTTCTTAAGAAGAAATACCAATATGCAAAAATGCTACACTTGCGTACATAAGCTTTTTTACACAAATACTTCATTTATCCACAATTAATTAAAAAATAATAGTTGTGGGTAAAATTTCGAGCTAGGCTTAAAACATACAGAAAGTATCGAGTTAAATATAATTACAAGGATTTTGAAAAAAGGAAAAATGTATACTTTAAATTAAGCAAGTGAGTGGGAAGATAAATGAAAGCAAGGACTTTCAATTAGGTATTGTTCCGTAAAAGAAACAAACACATTCAATTATGAACAATTGCTCAATGGAAGTCATTCAGTTAATTTGCACATTTCATTTGTTTTTCCATTTTTTTGGAATCTAAGCATTGGGGGAAAAACTCGACGATTATCTTCCATTTATAATGGCTTCGGCTTCGGCTGGAATTGAAATCTAGTTTTAATCAATATAAATCACCAGTCGGCCCTCAATGGGCGCGTCAGGGGCATAGATTTCGTGTTCGCTGAATGCGAAGTGATTTATGCACTATTGGTAGGTGGCCGTCTCTAGCCTCCCATTTACCACCCACGACCCTCCAAACACCACCTAACACCTACCACCCACCGCCCACCACTCTCCCGTAATTACTGCCGGTCTGGTTTGGTTTGGTTCGATACACTGAGCGAAATCAATACTACAGCAATGATATGTAATAAGCTAAAGGCTATCGACATCCCAAACTGAAGTTATGACAAGTATTTTGATTTAGATTGAATATTTTGTCAACGCCAAAGTCTTAACTGATCTTAACATCAATATGATATGCGACATTAAAATATAATGTTATTATTTATAATAATATTTTTTTTTACTGAAAGAAATGTATTGTATACCAAAAATTGATTGAAAGTGATTGCTTTTGTATTTTTTATTTTATTTCTAAATGTCCTGTGAATCTGTAATTTATTTTGTAGAATTTCCTACCGATGGGGTAAAATATTTTCTCAGTATGTGCTGTTTTTTCGGGCTGGTCCGGTCTGTCGGCTCTTAATTTGATTTGTGTCCTGGGCGCGGCGGCCAGCGATGCAGGCTCGCTCGGCCTTTCGAGGACTCCCGCCAGGTGAGAGGGGTGCGGCCTGGTGGACAGGAATGGACAGGAATGGACACGACTGGACTGGAATGGACTGGACAATGGTCACTGATTGTGCGGTGTCGTCTGCCGGTGCTGCATAGTTGTCGGCGATTTGCGGATTTTCGCAGGAGCCTGCCTGCCAATCGGGAGACTTCTGTCCATGACTGGACAAATCCGAAAAAATTAATTAAATTTTATAAATTGCGAAACAGTATTATTTAAGCTAGATAGCAATTCACCTGGCTGCTAAATCGAATTAAGTGTAGCAAACACAGAATAGTCAGGAATTTGGTCTTCTCTCTTTCTATTTCGGTAGGTCTTATTTAAATATAAACTTTCGCTTATATTCTCGTAAGACGAAATCATTCTACAATACATTTTGATTGGAAAATGTGGTTTTAGCCACATGTATCTTAAAAATATTCAATTTATTTAACTATGACTAGCTTAGTTTTTCGTATTGAATTAAAGCTACTTTAACTTTTCCCTGACTTCTGAATGATTTTGCCATTATACAATTATTGAAAAATATCAAACTTATTTACTTAGTAAAGTTTTAGAACAAAATACCTCTAAAAGTTTCGTAAAAATTGGTTTCTCTTATTTATCGGATTAAAACATTTTTCAAACGAAAATCTTCAAAGAAAATTTCATAGAAAACTTGGCAAGCAACAAAGCAAAAGTTAAAGAGGGAATTAAGGCTGTCATGGTAGACATATGAAGCACCCTCCGCGGTCGAATTCCGTGCTGACGTCGTTCGATATTTCATTTTCATTTTCGAAATGGCGTATAAATTACGTTCACCCCTCAATTAGCATTCTCAAAAACCCGAAACCCGATAATGTCCGAGGGGTTTGGCGGGTGGGGGTGGCATTATCTTTAACCCCGACAACTGCGACGTCAAAAAGTTAGGGCTAATTAGCATGATGTGGATCAACAAGCGGGTAATAGCATCCAGAATTTAATATTCCCGGTCGAGTGCAGAAGCGGATGCAAAGTCTGAAATGTCCGCCCGCCGAGCATGTCGTTGCTGTTTTTCTGGTCGGTCTCGTGTTTTCAGCAGATTGAATGTTAAAGTTCCGCCGCCACCAACATCTCCAGCGCCCGAGGAACTGCGACACCCACTTTGTTGCCAATTGGGGTCAGTGGAGATACTACAAGGGAGCAGCTTTTCAGGGGGCAACGTAAGGTCACCACTCGCAAAAAAAGATGAAATCATTTTATGTTGGTGTCACTGGAAAGTTAAGAACCAGCTTTAAAGGTGGCTTTAAAAAATACATCATTTTTCGTTAGTCTCTAAAATGCATTCGAAATTTTCATTATTAGTTTTGAGGAATTATTTCCACCCTGCTGAACTTACAGACAATTCTAGTTGACTGAAGGCTTAGGGTAGCTTCAAACTGAAGAACTGCTGAAGTGCTCTTAAACTGAAATCACAATGAAATCAAGGGCAGTTACATACTATATAGTATATAGTATAGACACGCAGCTGACCCATAAAAAATATAATGGAACCGGGGGTTGGATACATATCGTATTTATCCAAGTGTAGTTTTGTTTGTGCCAAGGGGCGCTTCTTGTTTATCAAATTTATTTAGCAAATGGACCTCAAGCACTTTCGCCTCGCTTTGTTCTGCGCCGGGCGTCGCCGGATTGGTTCGGATGAAAATGTTTGCTTTGAAACGGAAACGGGGCTTGAGTGGCGCATCTCCGAGGACCCATTGCCACATCGCCATTGCCAGATTGCCACGCTGCCACTCAGACAATAAAGGATAACCGCAAATGTCCTGTGAAGCGGAGCGTGCCCCAACGAGCAAGGCATGCGTCATTTTCCGCTCGCTTAATGAAACGTCGCCAACAAGCCATACGGCGAAGATGCTGGCCCAACGAATCCGAAAATACAAATACCGAGAAAATCCGTAGAACGTTAAACTATTCTGCAAACAGCCCAGACAGACACGCACAATGCACTGGGAATAAAATTTGTAAAGGAAAAACATAGGTCGTTCGGTGTAAAATGTTTCATATCCCTCACTGAATTTTCCACAAAAAATATTTTTCTACCAATATTATCATTTATTTTGATAGTAATTTATTTCCGATATCTGTAGTCTTTTTAAAGCCAATTTCCTAAATCTGTGACTTTATACTTTTATAGAAATG